CCCCCCCGGGCTGGCCCCGGGATGGCCCCCCCGGGCCACCCGCCGGCCTGGCGCTGGCCCCGGGGAGGGACACGCCGGGGCACCCCGGGGAGGGGGACACGTGGGGCCGGCTGCCCTAGTGCCACCCGGGGGATGGAGGCATCAAAGCACCCTGGGGCAAGGGAGCCAGCTGTCCGGCTGCCCCAGGGTCCCCCAGTGCCACCCATGGGGACGGGGGACCTGAGACACCTTGGGGACCTGAGGCACCTTGGGGACCCGGCCCCAGGCGTCCTGCTTGCACATCCCTGTCCCCCCCAGTCCCTGACCGCTGACCCAAGACAACGCAGACCAGATGCCCCCCCCGCTGTCTGTGTGTCTGTCCCCATCCTGCCCTGCCAGCCATCTCCCCCTCCTTCTGTGCCATCCCATCGCCCTCCACATCCCCACTGCCCCCCATCCCGTTCCCTCCAGCCATGTCAACCCCTGCTGCCCGTCCCTCTGTCCCCATCCTGTCCCCAATCCATCCCCCCCCAACCCCTCTCCGATCGCCTCTCAGCCCCCTAGGACAGATGTCCCCCTCCGGTGTCCCTGGCCCTGCAGGGTAGAGCCAGGCATCGCCCAACCGCCTGGGCTGCAGGGCAGGGGGAGGAGGGGACATGGAGACTGTCCCCTCTGGCCCCCCTCGGCAGACCCTGTCCCCCCGCCCCGACCTGACTCACTGCTGAGGAAGAGGAGGACGAGGATCCCAAGCCCCCACATCCTGGTGCCACTGGTGTCCCCTTGCCAGCCGGCTGCCCCTGCTCGTGTCCCCGAGTCGGCCTCCTCCCTTCGGGGTCCCTGTCACCGAGGTGTCTGCACCCCCGAAGTGTCACTGTCCCCTAACAGTCCTCGACTGTCACTTACGCCTGCCTCGGGTGGTGCCACAGCTTCCTGCCACAGCTTCCTGCCACAGCACCACCACGTCCCTGGCCACAGGGACAAGGGATGCAGATGGGGGCGGGGACAAGGACATGATGATGGCCATCAATGTGGATGGTGACAGGGATGGGGGAGACGGACAAGGAGAGGGAACAGGGACATGAATGTCAACATGGACGTGGATGGGGATGGGGGACAGGGATGGGGACATGGGCAGGGGACAGGGACATGGACGTGGGGATGGTGATGGGGACAGGGATGGGGAGGTAGGCAGGGATGGGGATAGGGATGTGGACATGGACATGGATGGGGACACGGACATGGATGGGGACAGGAATGTGGACATGGACGGGGATGGTGATGGGGACGGGGAGGGGGACATGGACATGGATGGGGATGAGGACAGGGACACAGACATGGATGGGGATGGTGATGGGGACAGGGATGAGGACAAGGATATAGACATGGACTGGAATGGCAATGGGGACAGGGATGGAGACATGGACAGGGATGGGGATGGGGGATGCGGAGAGGGGTGGGGACATGGACATGGATGGGGATGGGGACGAGGACAGGGACATGGACATGGATGGGGATGGTGATGGGGACAGGCACGAGGCTAGAGACATGGCCATGGATGGGGATGGGGATGGGGACAAGGACAGGGACATGGCCATGGATGGGGATGGTGACGGGGACAGAGATGGGGACATGGACAGGGATGGGGTTGGGGACAAGGACAGGGACATGGCCATGGATGGGGATGGTGATGGGGACAGAGATGGGGCACCCTCTTGCACCAGAACCCCCACCCCCCACCTCGGGCAAGGGAAACTGAGGCAGCTCCAGCCTGGCCCCCTACACGGGGACATGCCACCGCTCTGGCCCGGCCCCCGGGCTTGGGGACGGTGCGCACTGGGGGTCCGCAGCCCCCCCCCCTCCGCCACCTTCCCAGCGGGCCCAGGTGTCCGGGAAATGGAGGGAGGGAGGAGGGAGGAAGGATGGAGGGATGGAGGGAGGAGGGATGGAGGGATGGAGGGAGGAAGGATGGAGAGATGGAGGAAGGAGGGATGGAGGGATGGAGGGAGGAGGGATGGAGGGATGGAGGGAGGAGGGATGGAGGGAGGAAGGATGGAGGGAGGAGGGATGGAGGGATGGAGGAAGGAGGGAGGAGGGATGGAGGGATGGAGGGAGGAGGGATGGAGGGAGGAAGGATGGAGGGATGGAGGAAGGAGGGATGGAGGAAGGATGGAGGGATGGAAGGATGGAGGAAGGACGGAGGGATGGAGAGAGGAGGGATGGAGGAAGGGTGGAGGGATGGAGGAAGGACGGAGGGATGGAGAGAGGAGGGATGGAGGAAGGGTGGAGGGATGGAGGAAGGACGGAGGGATGGAGAGAGGAGGGATGGAGGAAGGGTGGAAGGATGGAGGAAGGACGGAGGGATGGAGAGAGGAGGGATGGAGGAAGGGTGAAGGGATGGAGGAAGGACGGAGGGATGGAGAGAGGAGGGATGGAGGAAGGAGGGATGGAGAGAGGAGGGACGGAGGGATAGAGGAAGGAGGGACGGAGGCATGAAGGGATGGAGAGAGGAGGGAGGGAGGAAGGATGGATAGAGGAAGGAGGTATCAAGGGAGGAGGGATGGAGGAAAGAGGGATGGGGATGGAGGAAAGAAGGGCGAAAGAAAGAGGGGTGCAGGAAGGAGGGACTGAGGGGTGCAGGAAGGAGGGATGAAGGGGATGAAGGATGGAGGAAGGAGGGACAGCGGGATGAAGGATGGAGAGAGGAGGGATGGAGGAGAGAGAGGGATGAAGGATGGAGGGATACGGGATGGAGGGATGGAGGATGCAGACAGGAGGGACAGAGGGGTGGAGAGGTGCAGGATGGAGGGAGGAGGGATGGAAGGATGAAGGATGGAGAGAGGAGGGATAGAGAATGGAGGGAGGAGGGACGAAGGATGGAGGGATGGAGGACGCAGGACGGAGGGAGGAGGGATGCAGGAGGGCTGGCCAGAGGGTGCAGCCCGCGGGGTG